AGCCTAAATCCTGTTAGCTGTTAGAAGGCTTATCTCCACACTTAAATTATTGAAAAATTAACATTTTATGACATCTTCAAAAGCCATTAGCATATAGATTTCTAAATATTATACTCTCATAATATATGCAGAAAGAAAACATAAGAGTTCATTTGGAAATACACATATTTTATGTTTTCTACATGTTTGAAATCAGTAATTTTACCAAATTAAASATAGATTTAAAGAGCATTTGAATATATCACAAAGCAATTTTGTGTTATGTGATTTTAATTACATTTGGCATTATTTGCTCCACTGACCCTTCAAAAGAGCAAGAATAATTCCAAATCTTTTTTAAAATTCATTTTCTGTATGCATACTAATAATAACAGGGTACTAATAATAACTGGAAAAAGTATTGCTCATCCTTTCCTAACTAATCATTCCTCCATGAAATACTAGGCTAAACATTAATTTATTAATTAGGAATGCTAAAATAAATATCTTAAACTGTTATTACTATAGCAGTTTGTTTACTTATAGATACTGTACTTGTAAAACATGTAAACATGATTTTATTCATTAATAATGAGCACAATATTGACCTTATTTATACAGACCTGGTGTACCAGATGTAATACAATGGAACACAATGATCCACTATGYAGGACTAGATACTTAATTTTCAAGCATCTGTTTGTAAGATAAATATGCACAAATGTTTTTTAGATATTAGAATTACTGTCTGTTGAGCCAATGTGGGGGGAGACATACTACACATGGCACACAAATAGAATTGCCAAAGCATGAAAATATGAATATAAAGTACGATAAYGAGACAAGTGTTTTTCCCTCCTCAATCAGTAAAATAACATATTTTCTAATTAACAAATTAGAATTCTAAAACCCTAATATCCGAAAACAGTCAAGAAAGCAGCCAATCATCTTTCAATTTGTTGGCTAGCAGCAGATACAACAGTTAGAACCCAGAGGAAAATGCATATTTATCCGTTTATTCAGGACATGCACACRTTTAAAAAAGGACAAGCACTTTTTCCACAGCTCTATAAGTAATTCTGTATCTCATTTTTACGTTAATACCTGTGCAGAAATCCACTTCCTTGCTGGAAATTGTTTGCTTATTTATTATGAAAATTGGATTTGTAAACTAAGAATATTGATGTATTTTAAGGAAAAAAATATGAACAGTACTGGGCGTGTGTGTTTAGCTCTAACTACCAGTACTATCTTTATTTGCTGACTAAATATTCCAGTACAGCTGTTTATTAGAATARCTGGACTAATTAGCTTGCAATAGCTACCCAAGGCAGATCTTGTTTCACATAATATAACAGACAGCTGAGAGATTCTAAACTTTCCATTTCTCCAATGCAGCCTCGTGTATGATACATCTACTATGTGCTTCCCTATTCCTCTCAGGAGGAAAACTGTTGGAGCCCACAGAATTCAGTCCATAAAGTCTTTCCCAGCAACCTGAGAGTCTACCATGACCTACGTGGTCACAACTCATCCCTACGTACAAAGCTTTTTTCTTCATATTTATCAACTGTTTCTACTGACTCCGCACAAATCAGAATCCATCCTCTCTGCCTTTTGGTACTTGCTATCCAGGATTGCTCCTTGGAACATCTAAGAGCTTTTARAAAAATTAATTAAAGTTTTGAGAAGCATTACACCAATTAACCCTGCCTAATTTATATATAGATAGATATTTATCACTTKATAAAGCAGCGCAAAATGTTTAGCAGTTCAGTTGCCACACCAATTTTCTCTGTCATTTAATCAGAATAAAGTTATTTATGTGTTCAGTTAAGTCACTACAAACAACTTACTTTCAAAGAAATTGCTAGACAGAAAAGCCTGTTTTATGTGCCATGTTTGCAGAGCAAGACGAGGACACCATATTTATGATCTACCAGAAT